AGAAGGGAACGAGGAGAGAAACCTCGTCGCCGTCCTCCTTCTCCCTTCCTCGATGTACCGACTACCGTTCGGGACGTTCGGTAGTTTCGGTTGGTCTCGGCGCCGACTGAGCCGACTGACAGAATTTAGAATTTAGGTTAGGAAGGCCAGGGCTTTTGAGTTCTCGCGGTGGGGTAGCTGGGGACACGATACGTTGTGCCCCGTCCCCGTCGTTCGATCGAGGCTACCCTGCTGGCGTCGAATGCTGACCAGTGCTGATGTACATCGGTGACGATCCTGACGACGATGACGAACAGCATGTTCATCGTCGTGGATCGTCACCGAGACACGCTTGATCTCTCTTTGTTTCTTTCTCACCCGGCTTACGTTGATCCGCGCTGATCGGCGCGTGCGACACGAAGGTGTCGCGTGGAGAGCCGTGCGTGGCCGGTGCGCCGACAGCCGTGCCGTGCGTGTAGTCTTCCCTTTCTTTCCTACTTCTCTTCTCGTCTCGTCTCGTCCCGTCCCGTCTCTTCTCTTCTCGCCTCTTCTCGCACGACCGCGCGACCGGCCGCTACTTCTTCGCACCCTCCTCTCCCAGTATCCCACTTCTATCTATGCCCCGTGACAAACTGCGCCGCGCGGCCCCTGCCCTGTCCGTAAGCAACAAGTACAGTCAAGTACAGTATACCTACTCCGAACGTAGCGCTTAGCGCAGGAAGATGACAGCGTGGCGCGAGCGCGAACGATGGACTTAGGTAGACTGGCGGCCTGCTGGTACGTAGTGCTGGTACTGCTGGTCGCCCGACGACGACGGCGCGGGCCGTCTGCGCAACGCGATGCTCCTCTACCTTCACAGCTCACTCGTACTGCTCGTACTCGTATTCGCGCGTATGTACATACAGACGATACAGACACATGCAAAAGCTATAGAACGTTTAGAACGTGTAGACGGACGTGAGGAGGACGGTGACTCGACGCTTATATACTCGCTCAGGAATACGCACTTCTTTCTTAATTCTAATTCTAATTTCTAACATTTACATAATTTATTAATTACATATATATCTATGTAATATATAAATATATAAATATATTTTCTATATATTTGCAATATTTTTTAGAACAAAAGCTTAACTTGTCTAAACGATAAAGTTCAAGCTTTATGACATATCATAAAAATCTATGATATCAAAAAAGATAGTGATTCGTCACTAAAAAATATATTACTTCTGCTTTATCTTCAATCTTCTGGTGTATTTATAATACGCCAAATCGAAGACTTTTTTCCATCTTTCTTCTCTGTTTTTCGTTCCTTTTTCTTTTTCTTTTTCTTTTTCTCTCTCACACGATCCTCTTATATATTAATCGAAACGGGATCCCGGTATCGGCAACTGTCGCGTCTCGATGGAATTTAATTCGATTTTCGGCCTCTCGGGCCAATGAGATCGCGTGATTGGCGGCGAGGCGACAAACGTCACGCATGCCAATCGTCCTCCGCAATTAATCGCGATCAATCGCAAACATGTTCCAACGTTCAGAGCGCTCCCCCCTTCCGCCCCCAATGACTTCGGAGTTCGGACCACCCGGAAGGTTCTCACCCATTTGATCGATCTTGACATAGTACGCATGTTTGTCGGCGATAAAAGTCTGCAATTTGTAATAGTACGCGATTGCTATTCCAGAAATTACAATTAAACTGGAGAGAATCAATTTTTTCCCTCGCTCATATTTCATTTTTAATATATATTTTAAATCCACACAATTGCTGAACAAACTATTATTAGATGTATATTGTTAAAAGCAGGGTTGGCAAAAAAATGTTTTTTTTTTACATAAATGTTCCTTTAACATGTTTTTAATGCTTCGTACATGCTTTAGATAGTATTATAAAAAAACTTTTTAAAATATGTTAAAAACATCGATTAAGGATGTTTTAAATAGTTTAAAATATGTTTAAAACATGATTTCTACAAACTCTGGTTAAAAGAAATTATAATATTGATACAATATATTCTGTGAATAACGAAACGTGATAGAAATGGTTAACAAATGTTAAATTTATCTAATTATAAACTTGACATATAAGTTGGAGTTTTTATATATTTAATACACGTTATATAATATATAGTAACTTAAATACGTATAATTTAAATATAAATTTTCAATGTATAATTCGAATATATGTTGCAAACAATTGTAGTAAAAATCTCCAAAAACTTGAAGATCTCTGTCTGAGGATCGATTGTGTATTTTCAAACAAGATAAAAATTACAAAAGTGAGCAAATTCACCAGAATTTGACTAATGGAATTATAAATATTTTAATAAATTTGCTCACTTTGTAATTTTCATCTCATTTCAATATTAAAAAATTCAGTTCGCACATTCGCGCATATACGTATATGAATCAATTAATTTTTGTTTTGAAATACTCTTTATTCTATTTTATTATCTCGTAGCGCAAGATTTTTTGTTCTGTTGCTGAATTCCATCGTTTCCCTTTTTTTTCAGCTCTCCAACGATTGTTCGCTAGTTTCATTTCTAACTAAAGTCAGCGAAAATACGCTTCGTGAAAAGGAAGTAGAAGAGCGAACAGCTTTTGAATGCTGTTTTGATTGTGGTCGAAGTGGGGATAAAGCCAGCTTTCCTTCGTTGTATGAAATTGCACCTTTAGAAAAAAAAACACATCGCAGCTATAAAACAACGAAAATTTAAACGGCGGAAAATTACAAGTCTTATCAAGAGGAAAATGCGAGGTTCTTGTTTAACGACCATGCATTCTTATCAAAATGAGTTTCAAGATATAGAGAAGAAAAATAATTTGTCATTGCACGCACGTGTTCTGCATGCATTTCTGTCTGGTCTCAAGTCCTCAAAGGTTATTTTTCGACGAATAATATAATAATTAATGTAACATATAATATAAAAATGATGTATAATTTTTAATTTCATAAATAACTGCGAGACAGAGATTTGATTTAATTGTAAGATTTAATTTGCAACAATTCAGGAGAAATCTCGAGTCGACACGGAAGAAACCGGAGCTATTTCCACGAGGAAGTATCTCGATCGATGCTTTATTAATTTACATGGTAAATATGACACTTTCAATTAAACTCCATTTAATTTAATTTATAAGTAATCGGCAATTAATTTGATTGGACGAGAAGCCAACACGCTTTAATTGTAACTACACATAATAACATTTATCAAACTCTTTCCACAACAACAATTCCACCCACATTCGAAATACTAAAAAGTATATCATTTGATAAATTTATCGCTGATTAAATTAATCAAAATATAATAAGTAATTATAAGGTTCCGTATGTATAAAACAATATGACAATTAAAAAGGGCATAGAACCAATATTTAAACAAACAAATTTAATTAAATTAGAATCATAAAGTTACAAACATTTCAACTCCAATCAGATAATTTTCAATGTTACAAAGGTAAATCATAAATACAAGTACAACTATACAATGTTAAGTAAATGAAAAGACCATAACTCTGACAATTCGTTAAATAATTGCCAGCAAAATCTTGTCCTTACTATATAAAAAATTTTTCCTCAATCTTTAATTACAGTTACAACATCTTAAATAAAAATGAATATGAATAAATAATAACATTTCATAAAATCACAAGCATAATCTTGTCATTGAAATAAAAAGCGTAAATTGTCCATTTAGATATTTTAATCTAAGCTGCAAATGAAATCGTATCTTGTCGGTGAAATATATAATTACACAGTAATGTGTCAGTGAAATATAATCAAAATATAGTCAAATTTTCCATGAAATTGGTCTATTTTTGTCGACTTCGCGTAAGATATAATGATATAAACTGGATATAAACATATGACGCCGTAAGAGAGAAAGTGCGTGTAGCGTGCTCGTTTCTCGCTCGTGGCGCTTTTATGCGAGCGATCGGTTGTGGATTTTGAGGTAGCGAAATAAGAGGCAGCCGGCTGGCAGCGTCGTCGTACGATTTGGTACGATTGTCATAGACATGCCGCACGTATTGCTGGGCGATTCGATCGCGGTGGAATTAGAAGGTAACGCTGAAAATTGCGTTGAATCGCATTGTCCAAACCGCCGTTCCTACAAATCCTGCTTGAGGGATCTAACCTTGTATCAATAAAACTGTAAACAAAACCGTGCGTAGCCTTCTTGCATGCTGTTCGTCAAATTCGTAAATAATCAACTATTCGATCTTACCTCAATTGTCCGGTTTTTTTCCCTTATATCGTAGCTTTTCACTCATTACTTCTTCACATGTATGTGTATGCGAGTACCTATTATGTAAGTGTTATTAGAGAATATAGGTGAACCATCTTATGAGTGTCGCTAACGATTACATTCTCTTGTCGCAGCTCAGGAGCCATGGCCACAACCGATTACCTTGTATCAGCCTTACGAGGTCGAGCAAATTTTGCTTCCCGACAATGCAAACTGTCTTGCGGTACAGGCTTTCCTCAAGATGTGTCAGCTCGATTTTCAAATAGAACCGAGAAAGAATGCAGAGTTTATGTCACCGTCGGGCCGCGTGCCCTTCATCAAGTGCGGCACAAAGTTAATATCTGAGTTTGATGGTATAGTGGCACACATAGGAAGTAAAGGAGTAAGCCTTTCCGATCATCTGGATCCTGATGGCAAAGTAGACATGAGGGCATACCAGTCTCTTGTTAACAATGTATTTGTTAATGCGGAACTGTACATCTGCTGGGTAGACCCTGCAATTTTGAACGTCACAAAGCAGAGGCATGGAAGCGTATACCCTTGGCCACTTAATCATTATCTGAATTGGCAGAAGAGACGAGAAGTCATAAAAAAACTCAGCGTACTTGGCTGGTACAACAAAAGTTTGGATGAAGTTTTCGACGACGTAAAAAAGTGTTGCATAGCATTATCTGAGAGGCTAGCGGATGAAGAATTTTTCTTTGGGAAAGAGTAAGTAGTGATTGTGTTTCTTCTCACTCCTTTTTGTTATCAATTCAGTTGACACTTAACAAATTACAATCTTGTTCCATAAGACCCACCGAAGTCGATGCCCTGGTATACGGTCATATTTACACTCTCACGTCGCCCTCCTTCCCTTACAATGAAGAAGTCGCTGCCATAATTCGTCAGTTTTCCAAGCTTATCGAGCATATGTTCAGAATCGAACATCGTTACTTTAATTTTGGAATACAAAATGAGATTGCAGAAGAGTTTGAAATAATTGAATCATCCTCCAAAGATACTCTATGGGATGGCTTTCGATCACAACCTGAATCGCTTCCTCCTCTTTCCGAACATTCTTTTACATTGTCAATAAATTAACGAAATATATCTAACTTTTTCTAAGTAAATATGTAACGATTTTACAAATATATAAATATATAAATATACGTATCGACCGCTAAATGCGATATTAACGAGATTTTTTTCGCATGATTTTGTATGTAGCAAACCCAACGAGTTGGACGCTTTGGTTTTTGGTCACATATTCACGATAATCACGACGCCGCTACTTGACAACAAGCTGGCAATGATCGTACGGGATCATCCGAAGCTCGTGAATCTCTGTAAACGCATCGAGATTAGGTATTTTCAGCGTACGGAGGATTAGATAGAACTTTACTCGGACTTTAGATATATCGAGTTGCGGTACACCGATTATGTTCATCGTAAATTGAAGTTCCTGTGCTTTGCCACTAACGCGACCAAGGATGATCATATCAAGGAAAATCTTTGTAACATTCAATAAAATGACTCGATTCTTAATGCTGTAAAGAACGCTCTCTGTTTAGTGACATAAGTAACACAAATGTTCTTTCTTGGCATTTCATAAGTAACAAAAACAGAACGATACTTATGTCAACTTGTGTTACCAAATAGGAAACGTTTAAAAATATTTATTTCCTCATGCCGCAAGATGGATATATCTGAAGTGCGAGTAATGTTGAAGTATGACATGTAGTACACTTTCATGTTTTAGATTGTTATAAACACATGAGATATATATAGGTATATATATATATATATTATATATATATTATATATATTAAAGTTGATCATTCCATGATATAATGTCTTTTAAATGCGTAATATTGCACATAACATTTTTCAGCTTTTTTTCTCCTCAAGCTATAGACAGTCAGACTAATGAAACGCTGGAGTTCAAGAATTAAGCCAATGATTCAACCGTACCGAGGATATCGAATTAAAAGAAAACGACGACTTTTGTTTAAACTAAATTCAAACGTGATATCCCAATGTTAGGCAATAAAAGCATGCCAAAACACGTTGAAGCATGGTTTTCGGAAGCTATTTACTAGGTATAAAATCTCGTGTTCATAAAATGTGCCGTCGATTATGTCATATCAATGTTCCTGGTGATATTTATATCTTTCTATATATTTATAATTATTTTATTCAAGTATGTAATTAGTAATATTATGTATATTGTTAAGCGCGCACTGTTACGTTAAAGTATATCATACATGTACAGTAATGTAGATGCAGGGAGAAACAATTTTCTAGTCAATACACCAATCTCCAATTTTATGTCTGTTGTATACAGATATAGGAGAGGTAACTTTCGATGTATACGTTGTGTATATATGTAATGACTGCATGTAAAATTTGAATACAATCTTTCTTTGAGTCTATATTAATGTTCAATATGTTTCTTGTCTCCAGCGTTTCAGTCATTGCACCATTGAAACGCAAATCAAGAGAAATCTGTCTATATTCATTATTTTATTGATATTATGTCTGTTGTCAATTTAGTTTTATAACAATAACACTGTCGTTAAGAATTTAACTTCGGGGTGATTTGTGTGTGGCTGTACGTGATTCAAATAATTTCACAAATAACAATCAATTTGCTTTATTATTATTATTTGTGCATAATGTGAGTATAATCTTAAACTATCATAAACACTACGAGATGTAAGATTTCTGCGATGCTTTCTGTTACATTATGCTGCTAATTCTGTTCTTTTTGATACTGAATTCGGTCTATACTTATTATATTATAAATTATACACAGATTTATAATGTAGCACATGTAATCGTGTATAATTATATAATTATATGATACGCATAATTATATAATTATATAATTATTGACAGATATTCTTAACATCTTCGTATATGTATATATATACACATATATGTATATATATATATAAATTTTTTTCAAGAATTGCAATTTAGATGTACAGATTTAAAAATTGCTTTAAAAATATAAGTAATTCATCATAATTAAAACATAAAATATATAATCAGGAGGGAGAGAAAGAGAGAAAAAATGTGTAAAAATAAAAGATTTTAAATAAAATTAAAAAAATATTTTTAAAATCTCAAATAGTAAGATAAACAGAGATCATAAATTCCACATATTGACGATACAGAAAAAATCAATGAATTATTAATCACAAATATATTGCTCTTAAACATTATGTTGTAATAATAAATTGTGAAATAATATTTTGTACGTAAAAGATACGAGTCTCATTATATACACAGAGGTCGTACAATCACGTTATGGAGAGACTTGGTATTCATTTGGAAGTATTAATAGAAACTATACAGTAATCACAAGACTATTATGCTCACTGATATTTTCTTGACATTTGATTTTTTTTTAACTTTTGACTTTAAATCTAAACGAATGTACTAACAAAATCGCACATATGCAACACCTTTGTTTACAGATTCTTTTCTTTTACGAACAATGAATCAGAACGGTAATTTCAAAAATCTAAAAGTATTTAATTTCATCTCTATATACCAACAGGCATATATTCATTTGTGAAACATTGTAAAGTATTATAGCGGCTTATGCTACGTATCGCGGAATAACTATTATTTATCTATTCAGTATCTTTTAAGATATTTTGTATTTTTTCTTTTTTTTTTTGTTGGTGTGAGATACCTCAACAACCTTAAATTTTGTGTGTATGCGCTATTTAAATTAATCCGGTGGTAGAAAGCTGAATAGTCGGAACTGTTCTCTAATGCGTGGCCTTACGTCACCTCCCTGCAATATAAAAATAATTCAAAAAATTACTAAATAACTGTATTCTAATAGTAAATATATCAGAGAATATATATGATAAGAGCTTACCCAGTTTACCAGATTTTCTAAAAATGGTAATAATTTCATTAGTTCGTTATCTGAACGATCGGCAAACCAACTTTCTATAGGTATACCATTTTCTAGCTGTAACACAAAACACATGGTTTTCATAAGTATATATTCTATATTAGTGATTGTATCAGATGTATTTATATATAAATGACAAGCCATATTAAGTTACCTGATATCCAAATGCTTGTGGGCTATTGTCAATAATGACGGTTTTAGATAGATCCCTGCCTAAGATGGACAAGTCCTTTATGTAATTTCCATTAACGCATACACAGTGTTCCCTGAACAGACGATACTTGATCAGCTTTCGTGTTGGATCCAATAGATTCATCAGTTTGTTGGCATACACTCGCTTGCTCGCCGTGAATAAAATCACCTCGTAAAGCGACGAGACATGTTCGAGGAATTCGCGAAAGTACGGTCGCGTTCTAACGAATACCGTGTACGTTACGTCTTGAAAGACTACTGGGAAGCGAAATGCCGCATCAGATAGTTCTTGCAGACTGCAGTGAACCAATGTTTCATCCTGCAAAAGGATCATAGATAAATATAGCTATTAATCACTGCTCTTATATCGTAAATGTATATATGGAGACGGAAATGTTAAGAATTTTATCATGTAGAAAATAAAAATAACATTAGAATGACAACATCTAAACCTGTGTTTAAATATTTAGACAATGTCTAATAAATGTACGTGTTAAGATTTTTATCTACGTGTATATGTGTACTTGTTCCGAGTGTGTTGAGCGAGCATACCAAATCCAGGACCAGACTGAATTCCGGACTACTCCGTGTTTTGAGTGGTAGAGCCGGACATCTCGCTCTCATCGCCGGCGTAAGGGGCGGCAAGTGCTTGATGAAGACATAAGGATCGAATGGCTCCCAATCTTCCTGAACTTGAGTAACCATGTTCTCTACATCGCAAGATTCTACTATCTCCTCGCTACCCACCTCCATGTATTCAACCTCGTGATAACGACTGCCGACGTCCTCGGAATCATATTTGTCACTAAGATTGCCATTCGTATCAGATGGATGATGAGGATTTATATTGTACATACTTGCTGGTATACTGTATTTTGTACTGGGATATCCAGCAGTTGTTTCATATTTTGTTGGGTCTGTTTCAATAGCATATTGATCTTTTGGGAGATCACTGCGGTTTTCATTGTTATCGATTAGCGAGTACTTTCCTCCGTTCGGGAAGTATTTGTCGGACGAGTTATACGCGGTACGGACGTTATATATCGACGTTGAGTGCATCAAACTGTAATATTCTGCAGAAGTTTCGGCATGCGCGTATAAGGAGGAGTAGTGTATCGATGATGGTAGTGTAGTATCTATAAGAAAAAAAAAGAAAGGAAAAGAGACAACGTAAAAATATAAATTAGGATTAATTTGATTACGCAAGCGTATGTATAAGTATACGAGTACCGTTGTTCTTGCTTCCTTCATCATCAAGCAAGCATGCGAGATCTGATTGCGATCCTAGAGATACCGGAGGCATTAGACACGTCAGCGAAGATACACTTGGTATGGAAGATTTCAAGTCATGTACCGGTGGTATCATCAAACCTCGCGAGTCTGTATTCGTTACTGACGAGAAAAGAGGCAGAGTAGATCCGCCATTCCAATTTTCCTTGGACTCTTCCGAAACTTTAGATGGCGACGCGTTTTTAGCAGACTAGAAAACGCATGTATTACATTGTAATAATTTATGCCCAATTTCTTCACTTCCAGATAAGTTGCGGATAACTTTATCTAGGAGATATCTCCATTGTAATGTGCAAGATATCTATCTCTTAAATAAAGTTATCTAGAGGTGAAGAAATTGGATATAAGTGATACAGCTACCTTCATCATAGAGCAACTTACAATAACTGTATCAATTGGTGGAGCACGATGCAAAGGGGTCGATGTAACCATCGAACGTTTTATGCATTTTCTTCTGCGAGGTCCTCTTTCCCGTCTAATAGGCGTGGATTTGGCAAAGTGTAAAACATTTTCTTTACAAGCCTATGGAAGTAACAATCTTTAATAGAAAAAAAATGCAAAAATAGCCTGTTGAGAGTACAAAAGTATACGATATCATAGTGCATATGACATGAACAAGAATTTCTTTTAAATCTTTTATCTTTGATAGATATTTAACTTACTTCTTTTAAAAAACTGGATGATCTACGTCGCCACTGACTCAATCGGCTGCATTTACTTGACGTTATTACTCGACTACTGTTACTAATATGTTGTACTTTTCTTGAAACTTGCGCTCGTTGGCCGGTTGCCTTTGATGCCGTTACACCGCTTAAACTTAAACGGCCACGCAATCTCCTGCTAATCCGTTCACTTCTCAGCCACATTTCAACAAAGTTGTTAAGTATCCTGAAATGGTACAATACTAATCTTAAAGAGTTCTTACGGGAAAAAAGATAACGTAAACGTAAGTAAAACGTATATCTAACAAGGTTTTGCTTGATACAAAACATGTATTAAAATTACTTTGCTTCTAAAAATCATATTTTTGGGGAAATATTTTTTTGGGATATATTAAAAATTACGATAAAAATTGAAGATTTTAACATACTTATTTTTAAAAAAGAAATAAGTTTATTTCACTTTTAAAAATTTGTTAAAATCTTCAATTTTTATCGCAATTTTCCAAAATAATTAAGAGTGAGGTATTCATATCAGAAATCGTTATTTATTTCGACCTGAGTGTTTTCGGATCCGTCAAGTGTCGCGGATGTCGCGGCGTTCGGCAGCAAGAAACAAAACGGAGTAGTCACCGGCTTTGAAGAGGTTTCAAAGAGCCGAGATCGCAGAGATCTGACGAGACGTCAGCGCGCGGGACGTTTCGCGCCGGCTAAGATCGCGCGGGAAAGAAGTTCGATCGTTTCATAAAAAGGGGCGTTCCGGAAGCGCGTCTGTGTGCGTGAGGGCACGCACATACACATTCAAGTCGCCTCTTTGGGCGCCCACGCTCGACGGTCCCGCTGCGTATGCCGTGTATGGATGTATGTACGTCCATGTGCAGACGCGCGCGAATGTACACATTCACACACGTACGCGGTACGGAGAGCCGTATATCGATTTACATGCGGCCCGCCGCCTGTACGTCGCGTCGCGTCGCGTCGCGGCGGTTTCGCCGGGAGACATTATATGCCGGTCGACAAATTCCGTCTTAAAAGAATTCTAGAATCTGACGGAGGATCGCTTATTATTATCCTGCCCGCACAAGGATTTTTCAAAGTATACGACGTGACGTGACGTGACGTGACGTGACGTGACGGGCAGTTACGTTACATTGCATCGCATCGTAGATGAGATCGGTAGGAGGGGTAACGGGTTACGGGGCGCGGAGATGATAACGAACCACAGTGAGCGAAGGAATCGTGGGACAGGTGAAAATTCGCGCGAAAATTGGCGGGTGGGCCGGCCGGAGAAGAGGGAAGAACGAAAAGCGATTGCTTACCATACTCCGCGGCGAGTCGGCGGCGGCCGGCGCGCTCGCACACCGGCACGAAACGAACGTAACGCGGCCGAGGCTCACACACGCGTCTCATTCAAAATCTCCCGACGCCGTCCGTCGCGTGCGCTTATCATCCCTCCGAAACTACACAACAAACATGGCCGACGGCGTCACCGTCGACAAGCACTCGCGGCGTCAAGCGCGACGCCGCGGCCTCGGCACCGCGATCCGCGGCACCCGCGCGCATTTATTCCCGCCGTACGACGGGACGGATATGGCGAGCGGCGCACGAACCTCCCACCCAGGTGACGGTTTCGATGATGTCGACAGGTGTCGGATTGCTGTTTCGACACCCGACGTACATACATCCGGTCACCGCCGTTCGCGCTCGCGCCCGCGCCCGCGCCGCGCTGTGCCGTGCCGTCTGCCGTTTCCTGCACCACTTCCGCTCTCTTCCATTCAACACAAGATGGCTCCATTCTACCAACATTCAACATGTATAGTCAC